TGCCATATTTCCCATTATCACAATGATGCTTAGTCAGCAATGTTCTGCTGGAAACTTGAGGCACAGCCATATAACAGGTGAACAATGGCTGCAGCTTGATTTACTGGACAAGACCGGTGGCTGTTAAAAAGGACTATGGCTACATGACGGCAATGGTGCCAGATGTTCTCTCCTCTGTGACAGATTTAAAGCCGAGCATGGACATGACACTAGACAGAACACACATCATGGCACCACAACAAAGACCATCCAGATCACAGATCATATTTCAGACACAGCAGTTTTCACGTTTCAAGTAGCTGCATCTATACAAACACATTGCATACACACCAGCATTCTTCTCTGTTAGTTGAGTCATATCAACGGGACTTCTCTCCAACCCCAACTCTAACAAGAACCTGGATGATTGAGGATCTTCACAATCCAGCATTTTTCAAATCAACAAACTTTTATTTTAAATTTATTTTGTACAAAGTTTACATTGTTTGATAATTCCTGTACATAACTCATTCTGTTGATGAAATGTTTTGTAAATCTGAAAAATACAAGAGCTTAAAAATCACCAGTCTCTACATCGGTCTCAATATCTACATCTTCGAACCCTGCATAGATTCCATCTGGTTCAGAGTAGATGTTTCTTATTTTGTTAACTGCACATGATGGAATGACTCTGCGGATTCTTCTGCCCAGCCTGCCATGCATCCACCATGTGAACTGACGATATGAAGCATATCTGTAAGACCTAAAAACAGGTTTTGGAACATTTATACTAACAAGTTATTAAACAGTTATGTTGCCTTAACCTTTAAAATTACAGAGGCCTCTAGACAAAGTACTTATGTTCAATTTGACTATCTTCTTAGACTGTGAAGTCAGTCTCATGGTTTACAAAGGTAAGCTGAATCTACACATCCTTCTGTTCTCCACTGTCTGAAATTACTATACTCTGTACGCAATAGGGAAAGCAAAACTTAAAATCACATAAGGAAACCAGGCTACAAAAGGTTTTCATCGAATAACCCTTATGTCTTCTACATCATGATAAAAGTAGTGGACAAAAACATGCACAAAATAATACAATACAGACTATTAGGTGACATTTCATTCATTTTAATGTTGGTCAGAAAAAATACAAATTACCAGTAATGTAACATTATTCCATGAAACATTTTATGCAAGTACCCACAGCTGTTAGTCATTTCATGCAAAATATCACAGCTGGATAGCAAAAGAGTTTAAAATTTACAACTATTTACATGATTTTAAATGTAAAGTTAAACGCGAGGGTTGATGTACAGACTTGCTTATTTGTCACCTGGTTCCGATTCGGCAAGTCGGCACTCTCCCTGTCATGGAGACTGACGAGGGCAGCCCATAACACATCTCGATTGAGACAGACTGCCTCAAAGCTTGTGTGTGCTGTGATGCACGGGATATCTGTAATAGCATAAAATCAGTAGCATCTTAACATGTTTCACTGTGTAATGCATTCAGGTGACATAGACGATTTTTACACGCTATAATCATACAACTAAAGTTGGATCCATAAACTTACCTGGAACAGCTACAGCGAAAAATTGTAGCGCCTTACAGCAAACGCTCTCCTTCTCGGTCAGCATCGGCAAGCAATAGCCACAGAGACACCATCCATTTTGCCCCACTCTCGCCTCATAAACCCTCCGATAGTCTTCGTTTTGATTAATTTGATATTGAACGTCTTCAATGTTTTCATCCTCACTAATTCCGTGCTCTGGCTCAAATTGAAAAGGATGAACAGATGACATTTTTTGTAACATAGCAGAATCAAAATAACGAAGTAGTTATCCGTGCAACCATTTGACGTCACAGCCCAGAATGCACTGCAATGTCAACAAAAATGGCAGCCTACTACTACCGATTTTTTTAATTAATTTTATAAGAACTAAGACATATTTTGTTAATTGTATATGATATTTCTATACTTTGGGGCAACTGTAATCTATTAAGCCATACAAGTCTTAGTACCCAGGGATCCCTTTAAGTAGTTCATGCCCAGGAGGGACCGAGAGTCTTCTAAGGGTGTACTCACACTAGGCACAGTTGCCTTGAACCGAGCGCGATTGTCCCCCCTCCCTAATAGATTTATTATTTATAATTATCTAATACATGCAGCACAATCAAGTGAAAATTGTTGCATGGAATAATGGAAGTGCTAATGTTGACAGAGTAATTAACAGCTTTACTCACAAACTACAATACCTGTTCATCAATAAGGTGAGAACCAGCCCCATTATAAATCTAAATATACTTGATTTAATTCAAATAATTGAAAAGTGTACTGTAGTAGTAGTAATAATAGAAGATGTTTGCGGTCATAATGATGACAGTAGCGCACACAAAATAGTAGCTGTTCCATGCTCCGGCACGGTTAGCATTCTCACACTGCATAACCCTGCATACTGTGCCCGAGCCCAACTGAACCATGCTCTGGCCCACCACTTCCAAGCGAGCCAGGGACAGCTAAACGAACCACGCCCGGACGCAGTATGGAGCAATCACACTAGTCAAACGAACCGGGCTTTGGGGGTCAAACACGCTCGGGCACGGTTCAGATCACCTAGTGTGAGTGCACCCTAACTCTGCCTCCTTGCCCAGAGATCACGCCGCACTCAGGAGGGAGCCATTCAGCAGGAGTGACGACTCGGCACGTCCCCCACCTTTTACGGTTTGGGGTGCTTGTGGTCATTCCTTGACCCGTCAGCACCCGCATAAGCAGGTTGAGTTGAAGTGCTCAGATAAACTGGTTCTCCCTATGTCACCTGGCACCTCTGGGGATATAAGCTTTTGCTCACACGTGGCCGGATGCGAGTTTGTACGCGTTTCCCCCAATCAAGTTGATTCCGGAGGTCTTGTGCAGGGTAAGGGAATGCGGAGTCCGCCTCCTGTTGATAGTCCCGTTCTGGCCATCCCAGACATGGTTTTTGAAACTGGTCTCCCTTCTAGAGCACACCCCATGGGAAATTTTCCAATCAGGAAAGACTTGCTGTCTCAAATCCAGGACAGGATCTGGCACCTTCAGCCCGAGATTTGGAAGCTATGGGTGTGGCCGATCGGCTGTGACATCTGGTCTTCCTGCAGATATTCAGGAAAGCATTGATAAAACTAGGGCTCCTTCTACTAGGTGGCTTTTTTCTTCCAAATGGAAGGTTTTTGAGTCATGGTGTGTGGCTCATGCAGTGGACCAGCTGCCCGATTGTTTCAGTGCTGAAGTTCCTGCAGGAGAAGTTTGCAGCTGGAGTGGCTGCTACCACTTTGAGAGTTTGTATGGCAGCTATGCCTGCTCGCAGGGATAAGGATGATGTCCCCCTAGGCAGACATTGTTTGATCTGTTTGTTCATGCATGGGGTTAGGCGTTTGAGCCTAGCGTACCCGGTCCGTGTTCCTTCCTGTGACTTGTCTGTTGTCCTATAGGGTTTATTGGAGCCGCACGTTTGGGCCTTTGGAGTCAGCTCCTGAACAGATTCTGACTCTTAAGGTGACACTCCTGTTAGCGTTGGCTTCTATCAAACCGGTAGGGGATTTGCAGGCTCTCACTGTTAGCAAGTCATGCATAGAGTTTGCTCCGGGCCTTGTTATGGTATTCCTACGGCCCGGACCCGGTTATTTCCCCAAGGTTTTGTCCACATCATTTCACTCACAGGTGGTTGTTATTCTCCTTTCGTCCCCCTCCTTTTGCTTTAGTTGAGGATGAGAGGCTTCACCTGCTCTGCGCTGATCGAGCTTTGAAGCTCTGTGTGGACTACTCTGGCCAATGGCGCAAGTCCTCCCAATTGTTGGTGTGTTTTGGTACTGGCCGCAGGGGACTTGCTGCATCGAAACATAGGATTTCTCATTGTGTAAGGGCAGAGGTGTAAAATCCAGGTTCAGATAGTAAAAGTCCTCCACAGTATTTTGTTCCAATCACCTGGATTTGCTAATTAGCACAGTTTTTCAGCCAGGAGAATAATCTATTAAGCCTTTGTGAGGAGTTATTAGTCTAAAGTTTCTAATTATAATAGCTCTTTGATTAGGATCCAACAGTGTAATAACTTAAGAACTTTAAAAAGCATGATAAGTCACAAGCATTTTGAACTGCTGTGTCATTTAAAAACCAAAGAGAAACATCAAGAATCAGTGTATGAATCTCAACAATGGTTACAATCAAAAGCTTCATGCTGCAATGCATGCTGGGTACCTAGTCTCTGTGCAGTGAGTGCACTTTGACCTCACATTAGTATGAGCACACATTGAGGGCGCTGTGAGGTTACACTTGTAGCTCACGCTGACCTCACATTGTGACCTCATCACGAGTATCCTGGGAGCTCATGGTGACATCACTGTGAGATCAAATGTTTGACTGTGTAACACTCTAATGAGCGTTAGTTGACATGTAGGTGCAACATCACTTACATTGTCAACAATGTTCAAAGGGGGCCATCAAAATAAAGTTCTACATGCCTCCTGTAAGACTTCAAACAAAAACAACCACAAGCGAGACTTTAACATCAAACTTTATCCTGCAGCCAGGTGAGTGTTTCAGAATTTGACAGCATCACCTTCATTTAATCACAGGTAATTCCCTATCAGATTTTGTGTCTGTTTTAACTCAATGTGGACTATGATGGTTGCTGTAACATTGCCAGTGATTGAATATTGATCATTAGTCAGTCTATTACGTGGTCAGTTTAACACATTTTGTAACAAAAATCCATTAAAATAATACAGGAAATCCTGAATGTGAACTGAACAAAAGCAAAATGCAATTCATGTTTTAATACAAAATTCAAGCCAAGTGAAAATACAGATTCTTTTAAGACATTAGCTGTTCATTTATTTATTTATCTTTTAAGTTTAGTTTTATGCATAAATTCACTAAAACCTGTCTTTCTGTGTGTATATTAGATCAGATAGCAGAAATGTCACAAAAGTCCAGAGCTGCTTTATTTCCTTCTAATCAAATGAACTTCAAAACAACAACTCACCGTTCGCTACCGTGGCCATCAGGAACCAGACCGACAGACACACACACCACAACCAGAGCAACCACATATCCAATCACACACAGGAATCCACTGCTAAGCACCTCCCTCTTTTTGGAGCTGATCTGTGATAGGTTCTTCACACAGATGAAGAGCAGCACAGCTTCAATGAGAATCCACACAAAGCCGGAGAGAAAGAGGAAGTGCAGAAGGCCTGAGATCACGGCACACAACACCTGGAGACCATGAGAGATGGTTATGATGATTCTCAGTGAGGCTGTGCTGAGCTGTAGGGCTCCTTCATCATTCTCACCTGCTGAGGCCGTATGAAGCTCAGGAACCGCTGCGTGAGCAGGAACAGAAGGTGAGCCAGCAGAAGACTGATGCAGATGTTGATTCGAGCCACATTACTCACTCCAGGACTCCACAGACAAAGGGCAAAGGTCAACAGGGCCAAACTGAAGAACACCAGCCCCACGATCACACACACCAAATTCAACACATCCAGCAGTGGGTCGCTCTGAGAAAACATGTAAGAGAACATGAGTGCCAAATCTGTGCTTTTCTGCAGTGTTCACTGGAAATGTTCTGTACCTCTGGTGGGCGGCTGGTTTGCATGATGAGAGCGAATGTGGACAGATGATCACAGGAACACACAGTGTAGCTGCTGCTGGTCTCTAAAACAGAACAACCATCTACAATCCACTCACTGATATTCCAACCCGATCTCATGAAAGTGCGTATAAATAGTACGCCAAATAAAAACGAAAACTCGTGGTATTGATACGCAAAAATGGACTTTGGCGTGTATATGCTACGTGATGGGTAGGTTTAGGGTTGTGGGGTAGATGCGTATCATATGCACGCCAAAGTCCATTTTTGCGTATCAATATCACGAGTTTTCGTTTTTATTTGGCGTACCATTTATACGCATTTTCATGAGACCGGGCTCGATATTCCAGTACACACAGGACAGAGAACCACTGGGATCAAACTCCTGAAAAAGATGAAGAAAATATCAGAACACTGAATATTAGATGTTTCCAGATGTTCATCAGTTCTCAGGTTGGAAAAACACATTTCAGTTTCTCACTCTGATGTGTTTTAGGGTGAAGTTGACTGGTTTACACAGTGTAGCTGCTGCTGGTCTCTAAAACAGAACAACCATCTACAATCCACTCACTGATATTCCAACCCGATCTCATGAAAGTGCGTATAAATAGTACGCCAAATAAAAACGAAAACTCGTGGTATTGATACGCAAAAATGGACTTTGGCGTGTATATGCTACGTGATGGGTAGGTTTAGGGTTGTGGGGTAGATGCGTATCATATGCACGCCAAAGTCCATTTTTGCGTATCAATATCACGAGTTTTCGTTTTTATTTGGCGTACCATTTATACGCATTTTCATGAGACCGGGCTCGATATTCCAGTACACACAGGACAGAGAACCACTGGGATCAAACTCCTGAAAAAGATGAAGAAAATATCAGAACACTGAATATTAGATGTTTTCAGATGTTCATCAGTTCTCAGGTTTGACAAAAACACATTTCAGTCTCTCACTCTGATTTACACAGTTTAGTGTTGGTGGTTTTGGGAAGAGTAGCTGAGATCACAGTGGACATCATGGTTTTAATCGTGTTGTTTGATGTGTGTAAGAAGTCTGGCTTCAGTAGATTCTCCATCGAGTTGTAGCTCATGAACGCCACAGCTGCTGATCCTGTGTGACAGAAACAGAAGCTTACATAAAACACTATGTAAAAACAGTAATACATGTGGTTTAGTGGTAATGGTATGACGTCTCAATTTTTTTAAACATTTGACATACTTCCACTGTTGTTCTTGGCGATCCCAATGAGATCGATGTTGTAAGGATGGTTTCCCTACAGTGGTTCAGGCTGTAGGATTGCCAAATGACTAAAGAAACGTTATCAGCACAATGGTATAAAATTGTACATTTCTAGTCTATTACCACCCACTGCCACTTATACCAACGACGGAAATAAGCGCAGTTAGAATAGCTAAATATGTGGGAGCGCATTGCCATTGAGGGACTATTGTATTGCAATAGGTAGCACTTTAATATTAACCTTGAATCAAGACGAGTTAGCTCATAATTAATAATTGAAATGGTTTAATAATATTTTATGGTTACACTTGAATTGGTTACAAAATAGATGAGGGATGGTAAAACATGAACAATTAATTGTACCCAGCATGTATGGAAAATATTACCTGAGAGAGAGAGGGCAGAGCCCCAAGAAGAGAGAGGCAGCAAAGGAAAGAGCAAAGCAAAAGAGGTAGCAAAGGAAAGCACGAGAGCAACAGTTGCAATCTTCTTTTATCCCTTCCTTGACCAAGTGACTAAAAACCAAATGTGAGACATTCAAACTTGTAACACATATACCTTTGTCTTTTGTGCAAATGCTACACGAAATGAGGGACCAAACAGACCAATCCTACTCATGAGTCAGGTGTATTAAATATAATTACCAAGCATATAAAAATACAATGTGACACACACATCTTACAATGTCCACAGAAGAATTTGTCGTGTCAAGTCGAGGGATTTTATAGAAGGTGACCTGTGGTCCAACCATGAAGACTTGACCCTCTGATTAAACACAAACAAGCAGTTATGTGCTATAGTAATTTATGTTTGTCTCTTTTTATGAAAGTCCAATTCAATCATTCAATTTGCACACAAGACAAAGAAAATTACTATTGACTATTGTTGTAATTTCTCTGATGTAGTTTAAACCCTTCATGTCAAATTTTAATCTGCTAACTGCATAGATGTAAATGAAAGGGCTATTAACTATTAGGTCATCTGTGTTCAAAGATCAGGTATCAGTATACTGTACACTGAAGTACTCAAGTGCGGCAAATCTCAAATGTGCGAAATGTCCTTAAAATCCAACACTGTAACTGATTACCACCATAAACTGCACTGATTTTTTGTTTTTATTTTATTGTTGATTGTTTAATGCTCAAGGCAGCAAATATTCACCAACATATTGTGCCATGAACTTTTCACTGTAAGTTAACCTGTGTTTAATGTTGCATTTTTTTTCTTTAAGACACAACCTGTCCTTGTCCACATGACAGGATTTCTGTTTTCTCATAAAAGTTTATAACTCTACACAATTAAATTTAATTAAATTAATGTAGCTCCATTTGCTGCTGTCTGTCCCACCGCTGCTGTCTAGACTAAATAAAGTCACGGGCATCATATATAATCTGAGTTTCATTATCAATAATAATTATGTCTTCACTCACCTACAGCAGCAAGAGTAAAACTGACACTGTCACTTGTGTCTGTCGGCTTCACTAATGTAGAGATGAGTTTCTCACTGGCTTTTAAAACACGGTTTCCATAGGAGGCTAGTTCAATTGGGTTTTCAGTTGAAGATGACTCTAAAATCTTCTCTGAAGCGTTGAAGACCATATTCAAAATGTTTTTCACAGTCTAATTTATTAATTAGAAAAAAATACAGTTATTGCACAAAGAAATATCAACAGAGCCCATACTGCCACATCAATTATTGTAACCAACACCGATTTGATTATTTGATCATTTTTCTCCTGAGGACTTACATTCAAAGGAAGCAGTGTGATGTTCTCGATCTGCTCAAGAAGATTTTGAAAACATCCTCCACAGGTCTGACTCTGAAATCACAGTCGAGTTTTATATGGTAAATAAGACTGTGATTTTAATCATGTTTTGCAATTAATAGTAAACAAAAACCATCAGCAATAAACAGGAAAGCACATTCATATTTCAAATATCTGCTACTTTTTTATCGCACTGCTCTTTGGACTATTATTAATAGAAGCTGTGAGTCCAACTCTAAAACTTCAATTTCTGAAACTCAACCTACGTTGCATTCTTCCATTAGCGTTATATTTATACCTGCAATGACACAAAACAGCATGAAGGCAATAAAACTAAATAGCTAAATTATATATATATATATAATTTGACTATTTTTTGTCTTTTTGAAGCTGCATTCAAAATATACTTGGCTCAAAAATCTGAAGGGGCACTGTTGAAATTGGTATTTTGGCTGGGCCCCCCCTCTGGTCTAGAGCCCTGGGCACGTGCGTTAATCTGTCCCTGGGAAAAATAATCAAATGATTGTCAGTATATTAAATCTGTGCATTTGGTCTTAAAGTGACAGCAGCCTAATAAACCTACTGCTGTCTCTGTCATTAAGAAAATGAGAGAATCATTAACTGCTCTTCTCTGAATAACTTTAGTATCTTTGATAAGAATCAGTGTATATTAAATTCATGCAGTAAAGACTATGCACAGACTACGTGTTTTATTTTTGATTTACATTCGACTATTCAATTATTCAATTTCTGTATAGTAGGCAACATTATTTCATTTGCATCTTTTGCTATTGTATTTGACATATTGTTTGCAAATTCTTCTTTTTTATTACTGTTTGTTGACAGTTAAACTGATCTGAAAGAAGGCGTTTGAAATCATATTAAAATGTGCACACAGGAATCTATATAAGATTTCTGACCTTAAGTATCCAATTTCAGGATTTGATTCGATTTTTGATTCCCAACCCTACATCTGACCGCAAATCAATTCTAAAAGTTTTTGAGGAAATAAGAACCAACATTTAAAGACAAGAAAAATACTTATTTTTATGAAAGGTGGAAGCTGTTGTCACATTTGACAGTCAAGTGTATTTCTCTTTATCCACAAACCAGTTCAGAGGACAAATTTATTGGTAGAAATTGATCACTAGTTTTTTTTTTTTTTTTACTTCCCGACATTCCCCTCTTAACTTCCTCAATAAAATGGACATTTCGAGTCTCGTCCATCCCTCAAACACTGTTTATTAGACTAATGTTGTAAAAATAACCGAAAATGCGTACATACAGTTCTATGGGTTATCTATGTTTAAATACAGAAATGCTGTGGAAGATGGTATGATTTCAAACTGAGGTATTCCTCTGAAATCAGGGTCAGTCTGTTATGGAGCTTTTTTCATTTGTGGTCATGGGGGAAAAACATGTTTACAAATACAGTTATTATTATCATTTATTATTTTGTTTATTGAGATATTTGTAACAAAAATGCTTTAATTAAAATAATACAGGAAAATCTAGTCATTAAAAAAAATAAACCTCAAGACACATGACAATAAAGATTAACTTTAATTGTGACATCGGCTGTTCTTTTAGTTATTTTAAGAGTTTAGTTTTAAATGTACTGTATATAACAAAACCCATAAGAGACCTGTGGTCCTCCATCCTGAAAAATATATTTATATGTTGTATAAGGCATATACATAAAGTGATATACTGTAAACCTTTTCCTTACAGAAGAAACAGCTTTCTGAGCTCAATAAAGAAAAATAAAATTGTGCAAGATTTACAAATTCATATCTTTGCAACTAAAAAAAAAATGATGAAGCCATACAATGTTAATTGATTTTCCTTTACCATGCATACATGAAATAGTTTTTTAGGTTTTCCTTTTGGCAACATTTACTTGAAATCATTTAAGTTTGATTATTCTGAGGAATCTGTAAAAAAAAAGCTTTTTACCCTCCACCAAGAAAATCCTACATGTTAAAAAAAAAGACTAAATAAAATAGATTATGAGGTTTACATCAATAGTATTACAGCAATAAAATAAGACACTCGCATAACATGTTTTTACAGAGGAACAGTCATCTAATGAACAGTTGTCTGAGCTTGACAAAATAAAAAATATAATTTTTTAAACAAATTAAAGCAGCTAGAGTTATATATAATTGTAGTTTAACAGTTGTATTTTTTTTTACTAATATTAATTCCTTATTCAGCTGTGATATTAAGTAACAAAAACTAAAATTTACAAAGAAACTAAAAATATTTTTGCCCTCCACCAAAAAATCTTGAGTACAATTAAAATAGAGTTACTTATTGTACATCAGTAGTATCGGCAGCCGTGATATTAAGAAACTTGTATATCATATTTTAATATAATTTGCTGATACTATGTGCCAATTTACACTGAACCAACAGACGGCAACAGAAATGTTAATTGGATTTGTCTGATCAGTGTGTTACTCCTGTCGGCATCTGTTAATGTTGGTCGGTTCTTGTTTTTGACGACTGAACATGCTGAATCAGATGTTTGTCGGGTCATGGAACGTCTGGGGAGTGAGGTACTGTAATCTGGTGATTGTCCACATCATGGTCTGCGTCTGTCGTTGCAATGTAAATTGGCATTATGACATTTAACATCCAAAAACATTGATTCTGTTATATAAAATCACCTGTATAATAATGGTACTTTCTATTTCCTGAACCCTTGAATGCATAAAGGGGATAAAGGATAAAGGCCACAGCAAAGGACAGCTGAAGGCCCAAACAAAGGAAGAGGTTCAAACTCTGCCCAAAAGATATGCTTAGAAAGGTGCAAATCTGGTGTGAAATTTTCTGACTCTGCCTGATCATTTTTACATGGTCTGTGAGAAATGTGGGGAGTGAAGGTTCAGTCGGGAATATACAGTAGATCTAAATTAGTTTGGAGTTGTAGAAAAAGGTACAAAAGCATTTGAAAAATAATAAATGTAATCTTTTGTAATGCAAATAGAAAAGTGGACTAATAAACATGTTTGCTATATTAAAATACTTGCGTATTATCAATTATTTTAATTATTTCATTAATAGGACACCTTTTTTATTCCAATATGGGCCATTTTCACCCCCTTTATGCATTTTTTGGTTCATGCATTCTAGGTTTAAAATGATGTTGTGGTCTTCAGTGTTTTTTGAGACACTTTTGATTTTGTTGAGTCCACAGCAGAGACATCTGAAGCACTTCGTGTACTGCAGCGTAACCTGGACAAGAATGAGACAAGAGTGACTTCATGAGACTTCATAGATTTTAAATTCTAATGTTGGCTTGACAAAGCTGGGCCAAAAAGTTTAAAGTAGTTTTAAAAGTTTGGAGTTTAAAAGGATGTTATGCAGACAAACAGTCAGACAGACAGCAGATCAGCAGATCTGTGTCCGATTAAATTTTAATTTTTGACAGTTGGAGTTTAAAAAGTGTTGGATAATTTGAACATTCTGTCATCAAATGGAAAAGTAACAGACTGCCTCTGAAATTCTTCTCTAAAAGTCACAGATTACCAAAATAAGAACAGGAACTCAGGACCACATGTCTGGATTTCTCATGGAATACGGTGGTAAACTGAATAAATGTCTGACCTCATTGTTGACAACACAATGAATCAGGAAAAATTAGAGTTTAAGATCAGGAAGAGGATCTCCAGCACATGAATGCCATTAGTGAAAAAACTCAAAATCAAGGAGCAACCAAAAACCATAAATAGCCTAGTAGAAATAGTATTACAGGAGGTAACTTTTTTTAATTTGTACATTACACTGTAGTTTTATCAGATAGCATAAATGTAACATAAGCCCCGAGCTGTTTTATTTCCTTCGAAACAAATAAACAACAACAACAAAAACTCACTCTTCCCTGTTGTAGCCTTTAGGAACCAGCACAACGGAACCATGTATCCAATCACGCACAGGACTCCATTTATAAAGGACAAAAGCCAACAGGGCCAAACTGAAGAACACCAGTCCCACGATCACACACACCAAAGTCAACAGGTCCAGCAGTGAGTCGCTCTGAGAAAACATGTCAGAGTTGATCATCTACTGTAGACTGAATTTGAATTATGCTAGTGCATTCAGTGCTTCAGATTTTTTGAGGAGGTTTGACATTCTCTTTCATACCTTTGGTGGGCGACTGATTTGCACAAGAGCGAATGTGGACAGATGATCACAGGAACACACAGTGTAGCTGCTGTTGGTCTCTAAAACAGAACAACCATCTACAATCCACTCGCTGATATTCCAGTACACACAGGACAGAGAACCGTTGGGATCAAACTCCTGAAAAAGATGAAGAAAATATCAGAACACTGAATATTAGATGTTTCCAGATGTTCATCAGTTCTCAGGTTTGACAAAAACACATTTCAGTCTCTCACTCTGATGTGTTTTAGGGTGAAGTTGACTGGTTTGGTGAGTTTAGTGTTGGTGGTTTTGGGAAGAGTAGCTGAGATCACAGTGGACATCATGGTTTTAATCGTGTTGTTTGATGTGTGTAAGAAGTCTGGCTTCAGTAGATTCTCCATCGTGACGTAGCTCATGAAAGCCACAGCAGCTGATTCTGTGTGACAGAAACAGAAAAAGAAACTTACAGTAAATACTATATGTTACAATAACAACAACAGCAACCAAAATAATAAGCAAATGTGGTTTAGTGGATGTTCTTGATCTTCTCACATTTTTTAAAAATCAAAACATTTAACATACTTTCATTGTTGTTCCTGGCGATCCCAATGAGATCAATGTCCACAGAAGAATTTGTCGTGTCAAGTCGAGGGATTTTATAGAAGGTGACCTGTGGTCCAACCATGAAGACTTGACCCTCTGATTAAACACAAACAAGCAGTTATGTGTTATTTTAATTGTATGTACTGTCTAGATGAGTGTATATATCCATATATACACACACACACACACACATCGTTTTTCATCTCTGATTTAGATTGAACTCTTCAGGTCTTCTTTAAATTAATCTGCTATCTGAATAAATGTATATGTAAAAAAAAATGGGTACTTAGATGTTTTGATTTTAAGGACATTTGGGTTTGGAAACAAAGCAAGTTATGAACTGGAACACTTGAGTATACAGTGTACTGCAAGATCTGACCTTTGACCTGCAGATGACCAAATAGTTAACAGTGTGCTGGATCTCATGCTGCAGTGTTATAGAGCTATAATTCAATAACACATCACCCGTAGATGAGAGTCTGAACAAGATCAGTGAATCAGTTGATTATATCATCATCAATACATAGACAGCATCACCTGATCATGTTTGCTTTTTTTGTTTTTGCCCAAAAATATGCTGCATAAATACACAGTTACAGCAGTCAGAGAAAATTAATGTTAACTAAAGTCCAACTAAAGGTGACACTAATCACTATTATGATAACTTTAAATGAATGTTATTTTCAATAAAACAGCAACATCTAAACCTCTGAAAGAAATTTTGTAGATGCCTGACAGAAATAAAGTCAATCTGGTTAGTAATGCATGAAGCTGGTGATACTGTTTGTGGAGATGATTAATCATCTTCTGCTGAGATCTTGAGAGATTTAATGTCTTCTTTTATTTCAGCTGATTTCATCTAAGGCTGTGTCTGGAAGTCAGTTGTAGTTGTAAGGGGGTAGTTGTGGATCAGTGACCGGATACTGTGTTTACGTGAAGACGAATGGCCAAACCGCATTGAAAAAGCTGCGGTTTTAAAAATACCTGATTCTTGTGTTTTTTTCTTTCTTTCAGTGATTCTGCTTGTTAACAGCAGGTTTTCATCATTAATGCTCAATCATCACTTAACCCTCTGGTGCTCTTGGATGAAAAATTTGGATGAAAAATTTTCTGTTTTGAATTTTGAAACATCACAGCTTCATCGGAATAGTACAAAACTTGGTGACTTTTATGGCATTTGGAATGTGAAGACACACACAAAACAAATGAGGGCATGATTCAAGCAGGCTAAGTGGTTGTAAAAAAAAATAGTCACACTTGTGGTCTTCGGTCAAAAATGACAGAGAATAGGAAATTAATGGGAAATCGAGATTTTTTTTTTTCAGAGAATTTTTGTGTTTACAATCTACAAATCTGCCACAATGCAGACAAAAAGTACACCGCAATGACGGGGTGAAACTCTAAAACATCAAGAGTGTAAAACCAACATATCCACTCACACACACACACACACACACACATGCGTACACACACACGTATACACACACACCTATGAACTGGTGTGAATGTAACACAGAACATGTGTAAAATAAAAGCAATAATTCAACAACAATGCAGTTAAAAAAAGTGGACAGCAAGGAAGGGGTACACTTTAAAACATCAAGAGTGCAAAACAAGACACATCCACTAACACACACACACACACAATTATACACACTCAAATTAATTGGTATGGCTATACCTATATAGCCAAAACGAGTAAGAAAACTGAAATAAGATCAGACCCAGAATAATTAAGCTCTGATAAAACATTCCTGTTCATTTTTGTTATATGTTTAAAGAATTTTAATGTTTTGTGTAACAAAATGCTTTCTCTGTGTTCAGGTTTGACTGTAGTAATAATAATTCAAAAACTGACGCTTCAAATCAACATTAAAAAAAAAAAAATCTAAACCTTTACAAAAAGTTGTCTTTGAGTGTCTAAATATATATTTAAACCCACAACTTAATAAAAATAAGTATTTATGTCTAAAAACCAATTAGAGAATGTATGGGCATTTTATATAGAGCCATATAGGAATATATGGGCTAAACCATTGAATTGCAGATGTTTTTCTTATTTTACTCCCACCAGATTGCACTAATCATGCTTCAAAAATTGGATTTTAAAGGCATTGTCTCTATTTTAACATGAAATACTGCATTAATTGAAAAGTAATATAAAAATATATTTAAAATTTGTTATTATTTTCAATGGGAAGAAATTGATCATAATTATTGCATAAATATTAATTAGTACCATGAAATTATCTCAAAATACAAAAGAAAAAAATATTATAGAACAAAACATGTTACATTGATTTTACTGGGGGGAAAAAGGTAACATTTTATGTGTCCAGTCTCTTTTGACCGTGAAGATCACAAGGGTGACTCCCAAATGAGGGGCACCAGAGGGTTAATTAATCACTTAATTACCCTATTAACTTCAATACTGCTTCAGTGTTACTTTCAACACTCTGCTGGTTTGTTCCCATATGAAGACAGATCAGTGTTCATTTAACACCAGGGTGGCCTGCAGCACGAAGCGAGATGAACAAACTCAGAGTTGCAGAGTAAGTTTTGAGTTGACAAAACCCAATAGAGCCAACCAGGTTTAGATCAGGTTCAGCGGGCTCACAAAGCTTGATATAAACGTTCTCTGTCAACTCAGAGTTGAACCAGAGTTTGTGATTAACATGTGTGTGCACCTGAACGTGTGATACGTGCAGCAAACAGCCAATCACACGGAACGTGTGGAGAGCATCAGCAAAGCATCATTTGGATTCACTGCTCGCGAGAGTCAGCGCAATTCACTTTTCTGCTGAAGATTAAGATGTTCTTATTAAAAATGTAATACATTTGATTGCATTTACAAGGCAGGAATAAACACTTTGGCTGCAGCAAAAGTTTGGCAGCAGAAAGAAAGAAAAAATATATATAACTATGCAAAGGAATCAACTGAATGTAATTATTTATATATAGTTTCACACAGCTCAAAAGGAAAACATAAGTTTAGTCATTTTAAAAGTTGGATATATTAAAGTATATATATATATATATATAATACAAAGCTTAAAATTAATTGGCACTTCATATAATAACAATACGAATATATTATATGAATTATAAACATATAAACATAATATAATATAAATATAATAAATAAGTAGCTGCAAAATTTTGTCTCTAAAAATCTTTGACTGTAAACTGCTTTAATTTGGAGCGAGAGATACGGGGGAGTGGCTTCATTGCATCAGGTATATGTCCCTTTGCTCACAGCTGATTGGTCCAGTTTGGGTTTATGATATCTAAACCAGAATAAAGCCTGCTCCAGAGCAGGGTAGCTGTGTGGCGTAAGTTACCATGGCAACGAAACCCACTAAAAACCAACCCACCTTCTTGAGCCTGAAAACTCAAGAGTTTGCTCAAACTAAACGTGAACTTGCCTCGGTAAAAACTGAAACCGACTTCGTGCTACAGGCCACAGGGATTGTGCTGTGTGTCTTGTGACTGTTTATTGTTTTGTGCTCAAGGCAGAACATATTCAAAAACACACTGTGGTCTCAACACACCATGAACTTCTCACTGTAAGTGAACCCGTGATTAATTTTGTATTTTCTTTTTTCATGGTTTATCAGGACACAACCTGTCCATGTCGGCATCTAATTCGATAAGCTTCTACCAAATGAAAGATGAATTTGCATAAACATTCTGACATTTGACATCAGTAACAAAAAATACAGGCAGTGTTTTCTGCTCTCTTATAAAAGTTTATAACGCGATAGTTTTAAGATTATAACTAAATCAAGTCACTGTTATCATATGCAATCTGAGTTTCATTATCAATAATAATTGTGTTTCCACTTACCTACAGCAGCAAGAGTAAAACTGACACTGTCACTTGTGTCTGTCGGCTTCACTAATGTAGAGATGAGTTTCTCACTAGTTTTTAACGCACGGTTTCCATAGGAGGCTAGTTCAGCTGGGCTTGCAGATGATGATGACTCTAGAATCTTCTCTGAAGCGTTGAAGACCGTATTCAAAATGTTTGTCACAGTCTAATTTATTGATCAGAAAAATGCAGTTCAATACAGTTACTGTACATGTAAATGTCAAGAAAGCCAGACAGCACTGCTATGTCTGTCATATATCATCTAAGTTAGATTTTATTATTTTATCATTTTTCTCCTGAGGACTTACATTTAAAGGAAGCACTTGAGCTGTGATGTTCTCGAGCTGCTCAAGAAGATTTTGAAAACATCCTCCAGGGGTCTGACTCTGAAATCACAACTGAGTTTTATACAGTAAATAAAACAAACTCTGTGATTTTAATCATGTTTTGCGATATTAATAGCAAAACAAAGGTACGTTTGTGCATGTAACCATAAACAATAAATATAAAAGCAACTCTCAAACTCTAAAAGTCCAACTCTAAAATTTCAGAAACTCAACTTACGGTGCATTCTTCTGGCAGTGTTATATTTATACCTGCAATGACAGAAAACAGCATAAACACAATAATAAAACAAAACAGCAAATTATATCGATGTAATTTGCGCAATAAAAGCATAGATCAGAAAAAAATTATGAATGTGACCATGAGTACAGAACCAGTAAGAATGTTTTTTTTTGTTTGTTTGTTTTTTGTATCTCTGACTTTTTTCTAAAAATGTTTTGTCCTTTCCCGATTTTTTTTTTCTCTCTCTCCTAAAAAAAAAACTTTGACTATTGTTATTACGGGTAGACCGTCAGCGGCGCAATCAGTCAGAGGGAACAGGCAGAGCAGGGTTGAGACAAGCAATCAAAACCAACAGAGAACGGGAACACTGGACACAGCAAGACTAGAGTCAAGCTCGAGTGACAAGCGCAAATCGAAAAACAGGCGAGAAACCAATAAGCGGCTGGTTGAAGGGAAAAACAAAGACATGAGGGACGGCGATCAAACCCGCATCCTGAACATTTTTAATTGCAATGTGTTAATTTGAAAACAACAACCATGAAACAAATTGAGCTAAACATGCAAACGGATAACATGCAAAAAAAAAAAAAAAGCTTTACTGTTGTCATTGCCAGAGAACACAGTTTCAAGAGTTTTTTTTTTTTTTTGGTAACACTTTATAATAACTTTCATTAATAAATAATGAACAAACATTATGTAATGCTTAACGGATTGTTGTTAAATGTGTTTGTCTGATAATATGTGTTAATAAATCATGTGTTTTTAAATAAGATGCAGAATCAATTTTGATAAATAAAGGATGGCCTACTTTAAGCCGGACTCACACTACAGGATTTTTTGCCTGATTTCCCCCCGATTTCCCCCTTCCGATAATCGGAGCAAAAATCTTGTTGAGCACCACGATCAGTCCAGATGTTCGGCTTGGATTATCTGCTAATGTGAAGCGTTCACCGATCAAATCTTGCACCTCCTGATCTGCTCGCACACAAATCGGGGCCGCCCCGATCATATCAAACATGTTTTCATAAATCATATAGCCGTCACAACGGGATGATGACGGCTATATGATTACGTCAGTACTTTCACAATAATCAAAGGAAACCATTCCGCACAACCATAAGGAGAAAGAGAAGTGCTGGGGTGAAATCGCCTCAGTTTTGAAAGTACCGGGTGAGTGCAGAAAGCTGCTAGCATACTAGCTAACATATGTAAACTGAAATATCAATGACATTCTGCTGCGTGAGATCACATGAGGCGCTCCATAATCTTGGAGCATGGCATGATAATCTTAATAATATCTTGTAGTGTGCGATACGCCCCAATTTTCAAATATTGTAGTGTGTGCATGTTTAAGATTTGAGGGAAGATAATCTGCAAAGATTCTCATTATGTGTGTGCTGCAACCAGATTTCATAATCGGTCAGGAGTTTTAAAATCCTATAGTGTGAGCCCGGCTTTACCAGACCAACTGGCCCACTTTACCTAAAAATAAATTTGTCTGGAGTGCATGATCTCAAAATGTTTATTGGTATATACCTTGATACCTTGTAAATAGCACTTTATATGAACTGTATTCCAATTGAAATAGTATAGCTGGGCCTTAAAGTAATAAAGAAAATAATAATAATAAAGGTATGTAAATTACATATTTTCCAAAAAATGGCCCATGTTACCTGAATTCACCATATTGTTGTCACGTGTATGTTCCCGTTGAGTTCCTGTTTTCCTTATTTGGTCCTTCCAGTTCCTTTTCACATTATTAGTATCACCTGTTCCTTGTTATTAGTTATCCCCATCACCTGTCTGCCCCTCGTTATCTGCCCTATTTAGTTCTAACCCGTTCAGTTCTCCCTTGTCTGGAATTGTATATCAATGTCAGCTCTTTGTGCTATGTGTGATTCCCCGTGATTTAATTGAACTTCTTCGTTTTGTATTCCTCGTCTCCTCGTTCCGTGCTCTTCACGCTACCACCAGAATTCCAGACCAAAAGTGACAGTAAGCGGCACACCTTCTACCCGTGTTTGTTTTTCGTTTTTTGAAGAGTGCTTTTGTTGTGTTTTCCCATTCGTTTCTTCCCGTCCAAATGGAGAAATGAGCGATGTTAATCGCCGTGGCTGAGGCGAACCCCGACCCTGTCAGTTATGCGAGGGCATTCATTATTTATTGTAAAAACAATATTTACAATTTTTAAATGTTTATTTTTTTTAATATAATATTTTTAATAAAATAATTATTAATTTTAAGCAATTCATAATTTGACAAACATCATCTAAATAAAATAAATGCAACTTCTGTGAAAAACAAAACAAAAAAACTCTTCAAATCTGCGTATTCAGTGAATGGACTTATAAACACCACCCATTTTCTCCATATTTGAATGTTTCCGCCTAGCGTCTGCTGCTCTGTGATTGGTGGTCCAGCTATGAAATTACAGAGCAATTGAGCAATAGTAAATCAATGGGGGAGTAATTTCGAATGACAGAAAAATTGACCAATCATAGCTTTCCTCTAAATTGGCGGGCCTTGTTATCACTAACTTTATGACAAGTTCCGCCCGCTGTGGGACAATTCTGTGTTTTTCTGTCAATATGGGGTGCTGTGTGTACATTAATGAGGAAAAAAAATTAACGTAAATGATTTTAGCAAATGGCTGCAATATAACAAAGAGTGAAAAATTTAAGGGGGTCTGAATACTTTCCGTACCCACTGTATATATATATACGCTGATAAACTAACTAACTATTATTCACGTCACGATGGATATAACGTAAGTGAGCACATTTACTAGGTCACTGAGCCAATAATAATATTATTTATTATAAACCCTCCTTGTTTGTCATGATGTGTCTGTCGCTAATTTGTTTTGTGTTAGCGCTGTCATGAAGTGTTGGCTTAAACACATTACATTTGTTGGTTTTGTGTGATGGGAGGGAGTGTCTGTACGTTTTGCCCGCTGAAGTGCAGATATTGTGTGATGATGCATTTGTAATGAGGATTTACATTTGACTTAAATGTAGCTGTTCTATTTTGGTAATATCAGTCACTCTCGCTGTACTGTTTTGTTGCGGTCGCACATCAGACGAGAAGCACAGTGGTACCCCGGTGCAACACACACCGAACACGTCGCGTTCCGTTCAAGACGGCAGTCCAAAACAATTCATCTATTCTCCAAACACTCAAAACTTAACTTCAAGAATGAGCAAGTGGTGTCAATGAGTTTAAAGTTTGGGGATCGAAAAAACAGCAAACGGGATGAGAAATTGCGATCTGTAGCACAATGAATCACGGAATTTATTAGACAAACGTTTTGCTGAAAAATGCACAATACAACATCCAACCTAGGATGAAGTCATTATGTACATTAACAATAATTTGGGACAAATATAATGTAATTTAATGGAAAATGATGTGAGTGGCGCTGAGGCGCTCCGTGACGCGGCAGGATTATGAACAGCACCCAGAGTCGGGATCCGAGGACAGTCGCCGGTGGCGCCGCTGGTGTGCATACAGTCATGGAAAACAATGTGTGTTTAACAATTTTAAAGACGTGGTGCGGTGCGGCGCGGTGCAGGGCTGCACATGTCGCCCGGTGTGATAGCCTCTTGTTTCAGAGGTGGAACTGTCAAAGATTACTTTTACAAGAGGACACCGTAAGCTAGGCTGGTAGTTTTTTCCCCTGACGAGGATACAGGGAGAGGGCCTAGACTCAAGAGTCACGGTTCACTACTGAGTGCATGTAAGGTAAAAAAAAAAGAACTCTAGTTGTTACACATGACAAAAAAAATGCATATGAAACATATTGAGGGGTGAGAACCAGAGGGACGTAAGCGACATTTTGGGTGAAATGGACAGAATGCTACAGAGCACTGACCACCAGAACATTTTTTTTCCCACAGGCTACAGTATATTCAGCCTGAACAATTAAAACATTCATAACAATATGTTGTTCTTCATAACCGACACATTTGTACATAGAATCTGAAAATTGTACATTTGTAAACTGCACACTTTTAAATAACATATCTGTACATTCATTTAAACAATATTTCTAAACTATCTTTCTACTTCTGTATATGCGTTATTTAATTGTCTGTTTTTCTTATATTAGTGTTATATTTCTAACTCTACGGTGTAATTCCTATGTACGTCTGCACTATCATGGATGTCTGCTCTATGTTTGCACTTTCTTCTGCACGGGAAGCTCCTGTGGTCAAGTCAAATTCCTTGTGTGTGTAAACATACTTGGTAATTAAGCTCTTTCTGACTTCTGACTTCTTGATGATAATTAGTTCATTCGTTACATCAGTATCATTCAGTTAATGGTATTTGCTAACATATTTTTTTTCAAATTACAAACCCTAAAAAAGTAATATATTTTAAAATGCCTTTATTTCATACTAGTTCAAATCTATTAACATTTTATTTACTTTATTGTCTATTTACTGACATATCACTTAATACTTACTGATATACAAATTATAATTAAACTTTTTTTTGGAGTACTACTTGTGCACAATGCACATTTCTCAATATTTAGCCAAAAAAGTAATATATTTTAAAATGCCTTTATTTCATACTAGTTCAAATCTATTAACATTTTATTTACTTTATTTATTGTCTATTTACTGACATATCACTTAATACTTACTGATATACAAATTATAATTAAACTTTTTTTTGGAGTACTACTTGTGCACAATGCACATTTCTCAATATTTAGCCTAAAATGTGTTTTAATGTCACTACTGATGATGATTGTATGATTTTTGAATAATATCGGTCTTTAAATGTAAGATATTTCAAGTGTGCCTGAAGTATACTCGCAGTAGTTCTACTTTAGCACCATCAAATACTTCAGTATATCTTTAGTTGGACTTCAGCACTACTTAAAGTGCATTAAGTACAAAATTAGTTGTTCCAATTTAGCGGACTAAGTATACCAGTTTAGTATACTAGAAGTACAATTGCAGGGTATTTTTATTAAGTACATATATATGTAAATGTATTTGTAGTATACTTAGCATGAAATAAATGTAGTTCAAATATGGTTTAGTATATTTATATTTCACTAGGGTGGTAAATCATCAAATAAAACAAACACATAAATAAATAAATAAGGTAACACTTTATTTTAAGGTGTCCTTATTACACATTTTACATGTACTGTACTTATTATAATAACGATAAATTATGCGTAATTACATGCAAGTAACCCTAAATCAAACCCTAATCCTAACCAAATAGTAAGAACATGTAGTTAATTACTATTACTGAGTAATGTGTGGCCAATTCCAAACAATATCTATCTAACAATATGAATATCAATGTCTATATATTTTTTGGAATAATGGACAGATTCTATTCTTATTTAATTCTTATTAGTCCGTACCAATAAACCAGTAAAATCCCACAGTTCTCAGCACCACTTTCAGTACTATAGCAAAAACTGTTGCAAGTATTTTTTTTATTTAACTATTGAAAGTAAAAATATTAAATAAATAAAATCTGTTACTGCTATTGATAATAATAAGTAAATGATGTTAAAACATTAGCATGTAGACGTTAAATATTGTACGATTTTGTAATTACGTTGCATTAAAAAGATCAAATGAATGTAATAAAATGACAAAGAAACACAGGTAACAGAACAAGTGTCAGGTCTGTGGTTATCACGAAATCAAACTCCCATTACAATAAAACAAATCTTTCTGTACTGCGCAATGAATCTCGTTTACATCATGTTTATACTTGTTTTGTTACGAAACGATTTGCAACTTACGTCTGACTTGAAAGGCTCTGATTAGCCGTTGTGCTCACATGCTCCACAAACATGTCTGTGATTGGCTACAAGAGCTATGTTGCAAAAACACATTGTAAATGGAAACCTTTGACTCTCTTCACAGAGCGTTCTCACGGATATGTGAATGTTTGAAAGCAGCTGCTGATTAGTCGCTTATTGTGTACTTTTGACGACACAATTTGTAATATTTACCACATTTCATGTAGAATTGTGTGAATACAAACAATGTTCTGGAGAAGTTTCGGAGTGAGCTGAGGTTCCTGGGAAACAAGGTGCAGAAAACGATGAAACGTCTGATAAAATAAGAAATCACAGCATGAGCATGTCAGCAGCGTAACGCTTGAGCTTTCACAGATGTGGACTCGTTTACACATCTCATCTGAGTTAAATAAACCTCTGTTGACATATATATATATATATATATATATATTCATTACAGTAATTACCTTCGGTTGGATACAACTGTGTGGCATGTGTGTAAATAACAGTTTAATTATTATAAATGTATTATTAGTAATTTGTCATTTAATTATATGTTAGCTGTCTATACATTATTTGCATTCTGTGAAATGTTTATTTTATATGCAATGGCCGGTCTGTTGTAAAGGTTCCACAATCCATCATTATAATAGCTCTTGCTGTTTAGTTACTGTAAATCATTCAGATGCAATGCTCTTGCTGTGGGAGACTCATACAGTGACCTAACCAGATGCAATGCATGTAAAAGGACTCTTCCATGATAAGAAGTTTTTCTTAACAATTTAAGCATTGAGCGGCACAGTTTTAGAGAAGTGTCAAGTTCTCAGGAGTACAGAAGCCAGCCAATATTATTTGAGACAACTATGGTTTTTCAAATGAAAATAAACAAGTGTAAATGTTAAGGCTGTAAACGTATAATTTAAAAACAAAATGTTTTATTATTTGCATGATATGCCAGTTAATCACAGATGAAGTTTCTCCTCTGGCTTTTATTTGTGGACTTCAGTTCAGTTATTCCCAGTGTAGATTCTGTAAAATTACTTAAAGAAATAATTCAGCCAAAAATTAAAATGGTCATTTGTTTACTCATTCAAAAGCTGTATACTGGTGTTTTGTTGGTGAAATCAAAAAGAAGGAATTTCGAAAAAATAAATGAATAAATCACAGGGCTGTAAAATGATTAAATTCATCAAATTAATTACATGCATTGCATTGCATGCATGCATGCATTCAGATTCAGATACGGAAGCTCCGATGTCCTTGCTTGATACACAGGGAAAAAATGATTCACTGGTTCACTTTTGAGCTTCACATAATACCACATTTCATGTGCTCTGTGTATGGGCATTGATCAGTGTTTATATGTGATTAAACACTAAAATTAAATCATATAAAGCGACCATGACTGTGAAAAAATTGGGTGAATGGACTTTCAATGGAAAGATCTCCCAGATTTCATAAAAAAATATTTACATTTGTCTTTTTGAAGATGAATGACAGTCTTATGGTTTTGGAATGTTGTTAGTAAAGGATTACAAAATTCCCATTTTTGGGCAAACTAATTATTTAATAAAGTGTAGTGTGCAACAGTTTTATGTCTCTGAAATGGTTGCTATAGCATTCCCAAAAGTGTGGTAACATGTCTTACAATCTCTATTACGCTATTCATCACTCTTTAATTGGGTGCTTAATCACTGTCTTTAAAAGGGACACAAACCTGTGACATTCTAGACTTTGCCTCTTATTCTTTCTGACTGTCCTGAATGGAGACTAAAATCTTTGTGTCAGTGGAGATTTATAAGTTAGTTCTGTGCAGTTTCATCCTCTCAGTGCTTTTAATGAGTTTTGCAAAGGTCTTTGATTCATTTACTTGCTATGACAAGCATCACTGGTGAAACTGCTCATACATAGGTTTAGGGATTTGAACAAGCCCCTGCTCATATAATTCATCCCACACCGTTTGTGCTCAGATCATGGGGTTTATTGAGGAGAAGTGTGCTGGTACTTTTCTGAACATTTGAACGCATGATTTTTGGCTGGAGGACAAAGAAAACATATTGTAGATTTACACTGAAGGTCATATTTAGACCAGAAGATCATGTTTGTTTCTAGGTAATGTGGTGTTTGGCGAGCCGATCACGGCCAGTTTGGGAACCGATGGGACTCATTATTGGAGCAAGAACTGGGCAAAGGCGGCGTCTTTTGTGACCTCACCACCCCTCAGTCCTGACCCAACCACTCCTGACTACCTAAACACCCTGTTGGTTGAGATGAAATTTTGTTATTGACCAAATACTTATTTTCCACCATAATTTGCAAATAAATTCTTTAAAAATCCTGCAATGTGATTTTCTGGATTTTTTTTCTAATTTTGTCTCTCATAGTTGAGGTATACCTATGATGAAAATTACAGGCCTCTCTCATCTTTTTAAGTGGGAGAACTTGCACAATATTAACATTTTATTTACTTTATTGTCTATTTACTGACATATCACTTAATACTTACTGATATACAAATTATAATTAAACTTTTTTTTGGAGTACTACTTGTGCACAATGCACATTTCTCAATATTTAGCCTAAAATGTATTTTAATGTCACTATTTAAAAGAAAGAAGGAAAGAAAGAATCTAAAGGTGACTACTATCACTCAATCTCCTTGAAGTCAGAATCTGTGAACAATCATACCATCACACTCATGCATCGCCCTCGAAAATGAAAATGTCTGCAATGATCCACAAACATTCAATCAAAACACAAATCAACAGAGGAAATATCAGACTACATTACCAGCTGGGCTCGTCTCTGGTGTGACTGTTGTATGAGTGCTGCTGATGTTAGTAACAGCTGAAAAAAATAAAGGGCTGATGAATATCAATGAATCAGCAATCAAACAAATAAAACAAAGAGTTCATGTGAATATAATTACCTGCACAGTATGCTGAATTGCAGAAAGTTGGTCTAACCAGCTCATAGACATAATAATTGCCTGGACAGGCTTTGACTTTAATGGGGTAAGACCCGAAAAAGCAGCAGTAATTGCTCCAGTGACCGCAGATATCTCGAGTGACGACTCCATCTTCAACTGTTGGGTGTCCACCACGAATCCACAGTGGGATATCAGTGCCACAGGTACAGATTTCAACACACGTGTCTGGGATCTGAGTGCTCACACCGTTAATGAAGAGCCGATACCAGCCGCTCCAGGTGACAGACCTGTCAAACTTGTAGGAGTTTGATGGGCGACTGCTGTTGGCTCTCCATGGTTCATCCAGCACAGTGTAGTTGTAGCAGGGGTCAA